CCCCATGCACACATACTGCCCTCATGCACACATACTGCCCTCATGCACACATACTGCCCTCATGCACACATACTGCCCTCATGCACACACACTGCCCCCCATACACACACACTGCCCCCATACACTGCCGCCCCATACACACACATTGCCCACATTCACACACACACTGCAACTGTTACACACACATACTGTCCCACACATACACTGCATCCCTGACATACACTGCCCCCCCTACTCACACACTACAACCTTCACACACACACACACTGCTCACACACTGTCCCCCTCACACACACACACTGCACCCCTTACACATTGCACCACTCACACACACCACTGCTCCTATGCCCTACTACCGCCCCATTTCCCAGCAGACCTCAGGTAAGTTGTCAAACTGTTCTTAAACGGTTTGACTACTTACTCTAGGAGGGGGTCCCGGCACTATTGACACCATAACCACCACACTGAGCTGTAGTAGTTATTGTGTCTGGATTATTTCTTTAAATAATCTACAAGTGCCCCTCCTGAGATCAGGCTCTGGATCCGCCACTGGGCAGGAGATTGTATTTTTGAAGTCTGAGATTTATAAATTATCCGGTAAACAAACTCAGGCTGGAACTGTTGCAAAGCCACTGCCACAGAGATGTACTAGGAATGGCAGAATGATTACTGTAGGATCTGGTAGACTTAGAGTTGATAAAAGGCATATTGCACAGTCTGTTGCTCTCAATAATTATGTTTCAGCAATTTCAGAGTATAATGGTGTTATGGAGACAGGCTCAGGCACCAAGTGTAGTGGTGATATGGACACAGGCTCAGGCACTAAGTGTAGTGCTTGTAGCGGGCCGGCTGACAACCCAACCTGTTGTCCCTGCTCAGCCACGTTGTGTCCCTGGAAAAGAATCAGTTATCATACATAGAGACCCATTTCCCACCCAGTAACCTGATGACATAAAGTCCTAGGGGTACAACAAGAACTTTATTTACCACACTCGGCTTTATACTTTCTCCAATGACAATGTCCCCTTCCAAGGTCCTCCCCCTTCTGGGGGTCGCACAATGGAACCTGAACCCCAGTCCCTTTGTCCCCTGTTCCCGCCACTAAGTGTCCCCTCCCAGGGTCCTCCCCCTCCCCAGGGCCTGTGCGTGTAACAGGAACTCTAGTCCTTTTGGCCCCAGTTCCCGCCACCCATCCTCAGGGTTTCCTACCTCTGGTGGCCAGGGGTATTTATCCCATTAGCCTCTTTACCTGGGAGCTTCCCGCCTCTGTGACTCTGGGGAGGTCTGGGGAGGTCCAATCCATGAGACGAGAAGCAATCCGCCTGGATGGCGTTTGTCTAATGAACGAGCTGCCACCCAGGGTCAGTGCAGTTTGCATTTTTAACACCTCGTTAGTGAGGTGTGAACACTACCTAACATTCTACCTAAACATTCTAAATGGGGATCCACGTTCGGGAGGCGAATGGAACCTATTCGTATGAGCTCTCCCGAATGGGGAGCAGGTCAAACACATGAATACAGCACAATACAGGGGAAAACATGGGAAATATCACACAGCAATTCACGAACAGGTGGCTGTCCCACCACAGTGGTGTTATTAAGACAAGCTCAGGCACCGAGTGTAGTGGTGTTGTTGAGACAGGCTCAGGCACTGAGTGTAGTGGTTGTAGCAGATTGCATTGGGCTGTCTACAACATTTTGAGTTACAATGTGCTTTTGTTTAATTTCTTGCTATGTGTATCTATATTGTATGCAGCATTTGACTGATTGTTCGGTAAAATCACTCTTCACCATACGAATGAAAATACCGAACAGGGAGAATTGTGCCCCCTGTTTACCACTTAATTCATTGCAACCACAGGCTAATTGGCAATTGACTAAATACTCGTGTGGGTTTTCTGGGTGGCCGCTGTTCGGCATACGAACGTGTGGTAGCGGCCATCTTGCATACGAACGCTGTTTGGTCGTCGAGTGTCTGGAATCGAAATCAGACACTCGATTACCTGAACACCGCTGAGACCTCCAGAGCTTTGTAACTACCGAACTGAACAACCAGCCAGCCCATCATTCGGTTGAATGAATCTCCCGAACAAGGAGATTCAGACGAACCCCAGCTCAGCCCTGGATGGCAATGATTTTCGTGCTTTTTATCTCTCGAACAAAGACCGACCGCAAGGCCAAAACACATGGAAGTTTTTTCGGCTACTGCCTTGTGTCTGGTTGGTTAAATAACTACTTCCACCTAACTCCCGAACCCCTGGTCTGATCTGGGTGATTTTTGAATATGTTGCTCACCCAGATCAGGGCTACCAGGGGATATAGCACATATAATTGTATCTAGCATATTTGGGGTACATCTGAAAACAGGATAAAACTATATACTGTATAAGTGGATTATGTGTCATACTGAGGGGAGGAGATGTGTGGGAGGTAACTGGTAAATGATTGGTTACTGTTCTAATTATTGTGGGTACCTCCCTTGCATGGGAGAAATGCTTAAAAGAAGGATGTGTGGAATAAAAGTTCAGTTCTGCTCCTGATGCTGTGTGTCGTCCAGTCATTGGGAAAGGTGATGGGATATTCTTGGATTACTCTATTTACTGTGGATACTATTCTCTTGGATTTTAATACTTGTTCCTGAGCCTCAGTTGGATTACCAGTAGAAATAGTCTGTGAGAGACCAGCTCTCCGCTACAGTGGTGTTGTGGAGACATTCTCAGGCAGCGAGTGTAGTGGTATTATGGAGACAGGCTTGGAGACTATGGTGAGGCCTCATAGAAAGCAGTTGTTGTTGGGGGATTCCATTATAAGAGGTGTGGAGATGGACAATGGTGGTCTTTTGAGATGTCTTCCCGGAGCTACTGCTCACAGAGACAGGAGACGTATTTGTAATATTGTTAAGCGGGCAAAGCAGGAAGGGTAATTGGATGCACTTGTCCATCTAGGGACAAATTACTTGGCTTGCAATGAGGTTTCAGAGGTTAAGGAAGTTTTTAGTGTTTTTGCCAATGATATACGGCAGGCTGCTTCCACACTGTCATTCTCTGAAGTTCTGCCTGTGCATAACACTCAGAATGACAGGCGGATGCGTATTAGGGACTTTAATTTGTGGCTTGGTGAATGGTGTCGGGAGCAAGGATTTGGCTTTATTTCTCATGGTAGCTCTGTTTGGAGTGGAAATAAACTGTACAAAAAAGATGGTTTTCATCTCCCTCAGAAGGGAACAAATGTTCTCAGTGAGCAGTTCAGAGGTTTTGCTAGGATGTATTTAAACTAGGAGGGGGGGGGGCAAAAGGGTGATAAAACATCAATCAAATTGCCCCCCAAAACAAGGACAGAAGGTGCCTGTAGCAAGTGTGTTAAAAAATGACAAGCTTAGAGTCATGTCTACAAATGCTCACAGTTTAGGGAATAAGATCCATGAACTTGTGGCAATAATGGCAACTGACGAAGCCTATCCAATGAGAAACGCGTTAAGTGTATTGTTTATAACTTTTTAAATCACTATTTTATTTTATTATATTGTATTACTTTTATTATTTTTTTTAATATTAAAGTCATTTTTTAATTGGACTTACCTTTGCTGCTGTTGGATTGTTTGGACCTATACCCTTGGTGGGGATCATACCACCCAAGTGCATTGGATTGAGCAAACATGCTCTTTAGCATGTGAGTAGGTTTAACTTATTTATTTCTGCTTACACTCCTTTTTACGGTGCACACTGTTGTGGTTCTATTTGTTTATCTCCACATATAAATTAACAGAAGAATTTATATTTACACCTGTATCCTTCAGTGGGGATCATACCATCTCAAGCACTCTCATCAGAGGAGCCAGGTTTTATGGCTCCATTACACATGAGTACACATTTTATAGTTTTTACCTACCCTTACTTCATAGCTCTACATACTTCACCATGTACAATTTTTATTTGTTTAATTTTTATGAGGATACCCCCTACTATAATTCAAAGAATCACCTCTACACTTGATCCATAGGAAGGGATATTCTGCCCAGGAGCATACACTGGAGCTATATTGAAGCTGCAGGAAAGTGTGAGTGTACATCTTTTATTTGACGCAATGTCTCACGTGTAAAACAGTACCCTCTATGTACAGGTTTTATGGTGTTTTGGGAAGTTACAGGATCAAAATTAGCATGTAAAATTTTTCATTTTTTTCACATTGAAATTGGCCAGATTGGTAGACAACCCAAGGTATTGCAAATGGGGTATGTGCAATCTTTTTAGTAGCCACTTGGTCACAAATATTTGCAATACCTTGGGTTGTCTACATTGCAAATGGTATTCCAGCGCATGGGGATAATTTTAATTCCTGGCTACCAGAGGACCCTCAGGCAACATAAACTAACCTGCCAAATTCTCAATGTGAAAATCCGAAATGCCTTATGTTTGACACTGTAACTTTTGAAAACACCGTAAAACCTGTACATGAGGGGGTACTGTTATACTCAGGAGACTTCGCTGAACACAAATATTAGTGTTTCAAAACAGTAAAACGTATCACAACAATTATATTGTCAGTGTAAGTGCCATTTGTGTGTGAAAAATGCAAAAAATGTCACTGTCACTGACGATATTGTCATTGTAATACATTTTACTGTTTTGAAACACTAATATTTGTGTTCAGCGAAGCCTCCCGAGTAGAACAGTACCCCCCATGTACAGGTTTTATGGTGTCTTGGAAAGGTATAGGGTTAAATATAGTGCTAGCAAATTAAATTCCCTTTACTTTCGGCATGGGTTGTCAGGCAGGTCCCGCTAATTGTAATTAATTAAGATACCTAATTATGTAAAAATAATACATAAATATATATGTAGAATTAATATATGTATATATATACGTATGTGTATATATATGTATATATCTATATAATTTTAAAAAAATATTTTTATTTATATATAGGTATATATATAGTGATATATATGTATATATTTATGTATATAGATATATATATTATTTCGTTCTACGTGTATTTTGATATATATATATATATTAATTTCTAAAACAGTTAGAGCAGTAACACATCTATATATTTTTAATTATTTATTTTTAATTATTTTTTAATTTTATTTTTTAACATATTTACATTTTATTTTTTTTATATTATATATAAATATATATATATATATATATAACATAATTATATATATATTTAATCAGTATCAGTCTACGTGTAATTTGATATTAATATATATATATATATAATTATATATATATTAATAGTAAAATACACCTAAAATAGCTGTAATGTGTGTATGTATATGTGTGTATATATATACTTAGATCATATATATATAATATATACATATGATCTAAGTCAGCTATATGATATGATCTAAGAAGCCAGCTATACCCGGCCATGTGATTGTGGGGTCCTCGCCAGGACCCCACTCTCACATGGCCGGGGGGCTTCAACGAGGACGGATGTGCCGCGGGGGGCTCCCTGGGAGTCCGCCCAACCGCGATCGCCGGCGTGGGACCGCCGGCGACCGGGTAAGTTAACAAAAACCGGAGGGCGTACAATTACGCCCGGCGGCGTTTAGAGCCGCCTATTAGAGGGCGTAATTGTACGTCCTGCGGTTTTAAGGGGTTAACTTAACTTAACCACGTGCTTGGTAAGGGTGGATACTACCTCCCTGCCAAAACTGAAAGGAAAAAATATCAGAGGGAATAAAAGAGGAATTCACCTTTAAGGACCGAGGATGGTTCAGGACAGTCATCGGCATTTTCCCATTGCCGACCGCTGACGGTCCTGAACCGTCCTAACAGTCTGAGTTACTTACCTGATCACCGTCGTTCCCGTTGTGGGGAGACTACCTGCAGCCCAGACAGTCTCCCCACACTGGATTAGGACCCCTGTGGCCATGTGATTGCTCAACACAGCGATCACATGGTCACAATAGGTGTCCATGTGTCTGCCTGCAGGGGGACTGTCTGTGCTGACAGGCAGTCTCCCTGTAAAATAAAATTAAAGTTAATTTTTTTTTATTTTTATTTACAGTGTGTATGTGTGTATGTGTATATATGTATATGTGTGTATATATGAGACATATATTATATCTATATAATGTCATGTCATACTAAGTGTATTTTTAGATTAATATGTACTTATATTAATATAAAAATACACTTATAATTAAATTACACACGTGTGTGTGTGTGTGTATATATAACTACATTATAAAATATAAGATATAAAATATAAAAAAAAATTTAACAATTTTTATCTTTATGAAATTTTATTCTAACTGTATTTTAAAATTAATATATATATCAAAATACACTTAGAATGAATTTGTATATATAAATAAATAAAAATACGAAATATACATATGTCCATATCCAAATTACATAAATAATTATATAAATATACACGTAGACTTCAAATATATAAATATGCATATATTTAAATTCTACGTGCGTATTTATGTAATATTAAGTAATTTTATTGATTGCAATTTGAGGGAATTGCCGAAATTCCAGAGAATTTAATTTGCTAGCACTGTATTTTACCCTGTAACGTTCTACGACACCATAAAACCTGTACATGGGGGGTACTGTTTTACTCGGGAGACTTCGCTGAACACAAATATTAGTGATTCAAAACATTAAAACATATCACAGCGATGATATTGTCAGTGAAAGTTACTTTTTTTGCATTTTTCACACACAAACAGCATTTTTACTGATGATATAATTGTGATACGTTTTCCAGTTTTTAAACACTAATATTTGTGTTCAGCGAGGTCTCCCAAGTAAAACAGTACCCCCCATGTACAGATTTTATAGCATTTTTGAAAGTTACAGGGTCAAATATATGGGTCAAATATTTTTACATTGAAAATGGCCAGGTTGGTTACGTTGCCTTTGAGAGCGTATGGTAGCCCAGGAATGAGAATTACCCCCATGATGGCATACCATTTGCAAAAGAAGACAACCCAAGGTATTGCAAATGGGGTATGTCCAGTCTTTTTTAGTAACCACTTAGTCACAAACTCTGGCCAAAATTAGCGTTCAATTGATTTTTTTTGTACTTTTTTCACACACAAACAAATATGAATGCTTACTTTGGCCAGTGTTTGTGACTGATTGGCTACTAAAAAAGACTGGACATACCCCATATTGAATACCCCGGGTTGTCTACTTTAAAAAAATATGTACATGTGGGGTGTTATTTAGAGATTTGACCGATAATAGTGTTACAATGTCACTATTGATAAATTTAAAAAATTTATGTTTTGAAACCGCAATATCCTACTTGTACCTATAGCCCTATAACATGCAAAAAAAAGCACGTAAATACTGGGTATTTTTAAACTCAGGACAAAATTTTGAATCTATTTAGCAGTTTTTTTTTCATTCGCTTTTGTAGATGAGTAAAAGATTTTTCAAGTAAAAGTAAAAAAACATTTTTTTTTTTTTTTTTCCTTTTTGCATCATTTATTTTTTTTTAATTAAAATACATGAGATTATATAAATAATGGTATGTAAAGAAAGCCCCTTTTGTCCTGGAAAAAAATAAATAACTTGTATGGGAACAGTAAATGAGAGAGCGGAAAATTGCAGCTAAACACAAACACCACAAAAGTGTAAAAAGATACCTGGTCGCAAATGTACAACATCGCTAAAAACAGTCCAGTCCTTAAGGGGTTAACGAATTAAAATGGGACACTAACACATTACAATCTGTACTCTAAATGTAAGAAATGTATTTAGTCTTAAAGGTGAAAGTCTGGCTGAATTGGACTGTTTGACGTTAAAGGGACACTATAGTCACCAGAACAACTTTAGCTTAATGAAGCAGTTTTGGTGTATAGAACATGCCCCTGCAGCCTCACTGCTCAATCCTCTGCCATTTAGGAGTTAAATCCCTTTGTTTATGAACCCTAGTCACACTTCCCTGCATGTGACTTGCACAGCCTTCCATAAACACTTCCTGTAAAGAGAGCCCTATTTAGGCTTTCTTTATTGCAAGTTCTGTTTAAGATTTTCTTATCCCCTGCCATGTTAATAGCTTGCTAGACCCTGCAAGAGCCTCCTATATGTGATTAAAGTTCAATTTAAAGATTGAGATACTATTATTTAAGGTAAATTACATCTGTTTGAAAGTGAAACCAGTTTTTTTTTTTTCATGCAGGCTCTGTCAATCATAGCCAGGGGAGGTGTGGCTGGGGCTGCATAAACAGAAACAAAGTTATTTAACTCCTAAATGGCAGAGAATTGGGCAATGAAATTGCAGGGAATGATCTATACACTAAAACTGCTTTATTTAGCTAAAGTAATTTAGGTGACTATAGTGTTCCTTTAAGCATAATTGCAAATGTTCATATGTCCTCATAAGACATCAACACTATTCTTTAAATGACTGTCAACTTAATGGATATTTGCATATTGTCTAAAGAAACCCAGAGGTGACATTACCACTTGGAGTGCGGTGGCCTGGGAATTTCACTGTGTATCTATATACTAACTCACATATTACAAGGACAATTTGAGCAACGAAAGAACTTTAACTTAATGAAGATATTTTAGTGTATAGATAATGCCACTGCATGCACACTGCTCAATTTACTGCCATTAGGTCTTTCTGTTTCTGCAGTCCTAGCCACACCTCATCTGGCTGAGACTCTCACAACCTCCCTACACACTTCCTTAAAAAGAGGTCTAATCTTTAAACTTCCCTTATTGCACAGTGTGTTTGTTTAACTTAGAATTTCTTATATATTGCTCTGTTAATAGCATCCTAGATCATACAGCAGTTTACAGTGTTTGTTCAATTAATAGAGCGGGAGATGAGAGCTTATAAAGTAAACACTGTGCTGTAAGATCAGATTGTTAATGTGCCTACATGTGTTTTCTGATCTTTGTTTAATGGATGTTATTAATGTTTTCATTCAATTTATCCCCTCAACGCTCTGTAGCTACTACTGGAGTTAGTGGTGTTGTCAGGCTTTTGGGTTTTGTTAGTAGGCATTTTGTTAACTGTGACACATAATTAGTCACATTCATATTAGTTGTTTCCAAGTATCTACAAGGGTGCATGACCACCATATATTATCCATCCCTGCTAAACAAATCCAACCTTTTTTGTGTTATGGATCTGATTTACACAAAAAAAGTACAAACCCTTATTTCTTTGTATTTTTGAATGTTCAAGCTCCGTGCCTTGGTGCTTAGAATGTATTTACCTTTGCACAGTGCATTGTAAAAGCAAATATTTTTCCTTTCTTCCAAAAAGGCAGGAAACAATTGAGCAGCTCCTAAGTAACATGTTTGAAGGAGAACACAACGAATCTGTAATTGTTCACGGCATTCAAGTGCTTTTGACTCTTCTGGAGCCTCGTAGACCGAGGTAGGTTTCAAACCATAGTAAAATGTTTTTTTGTTTTTTTTTGAGTAGTAGAACAGTTAGTAGTGCAACTCATATCACAGGGCATGTACTAGGGTGCTTTTTAAATTTATAGTGGCTGTGTTGTGCTATGTTATTTTGTAATCTAGATTCTTATTTCACATGCTTTTAATTCGTACATAGTCCCTCTAAAAACATTACGTTATAAAAAAATAAAAATACATGTGATGAACATTAGGAAAGTTGAGCGAACACCTATTTTTCTTTTATTTAAACAAAAAAAATTAATTCACTTTACTGAAAATGACCGTTCCTCATTCCCTCACGCTAGTAAACGCTAATGAAGTGCAGAAGAGGTAATTTATAAAGCAAATTCATCTCTGCAGCACTTGTGTGTCCAGAACATCATCAGTCCATTATCCCTTCCTCTTATGTGGTTTGAAAGTGCCATATATGTGCTTGCTCTCTGCTACGCTTGAATTAATTTAAACAGGGAGATAAATTAAAGTGACGGTCACCCTATACTTGCTTTGCTTCAACCTGTTCCTCTTCTCTTCCTTACTTCTAATCTGTTCTTTCTTTTCTTTTTAATCTATTTTTCTTAAAATATATGAGGAAAAGTAGGGGCTACTTTGACTTTACTTGGGTTAACCGTGAGCATGGTGTTAGCCGTCTACTGAATTCCAGGGTGCTATGGCATTTAATGTCTGATTTAACATCCTTCTGACTCTCTTATCATGGTAGACTGTGAGCCCTATCTGAGAGTAGGTTACATATAATTAAACACTTAGTAAGAAATTTAGAGGCATGTTAAGCGCTATGGTTAATCTCTTTAAGCACTGGAGCAGTTCGTGCTGTACGTCATTGGAAGGGTGCAATTGTTAATTTGCCATTGAGCGAGAAGCCAGTCTATATGACTTACTCTCCATACATGTAGTGTGTGTGTACAACTTTTTTTATTTACCGAGCCAAACCATTTTGTTATGAATACATAACATTTTTCAGACCATAACTTGTACAGAAAGGATTAGCGCCCAGAAGTTTAAAAGTCCCCTAATTACATGGGCTAGGTTGGAAGAAACAGTGTATTTTAAAGCATCTAGACTAGATCCCAAGTGTGGATGAGACCGTTGGATGGTTGGTTGTTTGGTTCTTAAGTGAGGTGGGAGACAGGGGTCCCCGCAAAGTCTGATTCCAATGCTATCCAGAGTGTAAGCAATGGTCCATTCAATCACTCTTTGTCAGTTAATTGTTTTATGGTAAAGGGCAATGTTGGGTTGGCTCACTCCACCCCTGTTTTTTGGTTGTGTTTGAAGGTGGAGATTTAGTCTAGGCTTGTGGTTGTGCCACACATAGGAAATAAAGGTGTTTTCTATCGGTGTGAATAATGGACGAGGTATAAGAACAGGTAAAGTTTGCAAGAGAAATAAGAGGCATGGTACATATATTCATCTTGAGCACTTGATGGTCCAACTTAATCTGACGAGAGGTGAGAAATTGATGTTGCAGGCTTTATTAACCCCTTAAGGACCAAACTTCTGGAATAAAAGGGAATCATGACATGTCACACATGTCATGTGTCCTTAAGGGGTTAAAGGGACACTGGAGGGCACTTAGATCACTTCAGCTCATTGAAGTGGTCTGGGTGCACTGCCTCAGGTCGCTTAACTCTGCAATGGTAATTATTTCTTTTTTTTTTTTTTTTTAATGGAAAAAAAAAAAAAAATTCCCCATCCCTTCCGGGCACTATAGTTTCCCTTTAAGGTTGGAGGGTAGGTTTAACCCAAAGTTTTTAATGAATTCCTTAAATCAGTTCATTTAGTTCTTAAGAGAACATATTGGATTTCAAATTGTTAAAGTTAAGCTTTAAAGCCGTTACTGCCATTGGTTTAATTCACAATTTCAGGTGCATGAGCCTACTATTGACTGCTTAACCCCTTAAGGACCAACTTCTGGAATAAAAGGGAATCATGACATGTCACACATGTCGTGTCCTTAAGGGGTGAAAAGTGGCACTGTCATGGCCGCATCCGTGTTTTGCTTCTTTTAAATCTCCCTAAATTAAGAATACTAGGTAATCTTTACTTCGTATTAGTAAAGTAGGATAAAAGACCAATTTTGCTCTTTCAGCCCTTTATTAGATAGCTCCCTAGTTCCCACGGTATTGGGTAACTATCTACTAAGTGGCTGCAAGATGCAGCCGCAGCACGAATAGGATTGGAATGTCAGTTCATTAGAATTAAATTCTGATTCAAACGAAAAAAAGTGCAGAATGTTGTTCTAACATGTGTGGACAAAGTGTACTTATTCTGCTAGAATAAAATTTGGTAGCTTCGCCGGCACTCTGTCTATATGACAGGACGTTCGGGAATAGTGAAAGGAGGCATTGCGAGATCCCGGAAGAAGTATTGTGATAACATTTCTTTGACCATAGGAAATGGAGCGTGCTCCTCCTTTGGTCAAAGCTGGTCATGCTTAGGAAAAATCCATAAGACAGAGTAGTCCCTACTTTGTCTTATGTTTTTAAAGAAAACTACTTCAGACAGGAATCAAAGAAGAACTGATCCTGAGAGAGGAAGAGAAGATGAAGTGATTGTGGAAAGGTAAGTTTGGCATGACAGTGCTCTTTAATGAGATAAGTAGACCTTCCCTCTGATGGGGTAAATCTTTAATCATGTTGGCCATGTCCTTTTTAATCTAAATACCCACAGTGTGTATTTCATGCAGTATACCTAGCAGTTGTGATTTCCCAAAATAAATTTTCATTCTCATTAATTGTAATATACTTTGTGTTTGTTTTCTAAATATTGCTCTTCTTGCCGTTCAGGGCTGAACTTGGTGGATTGAGTGGATTCTATTGTAACCTGGAAGGCCAGTTGGAGATCAACCCTCCTGGTATGGACTCGTCTTCTAACACTCAAGCCAGTTTAGACACTTTGCTTGCTATTAAGCAGCATTTGTGCGAGTTTCATAAACTCCTAGTTGATCCACCAACGGTAAGAACAATGTCTTGAAATTAAAATTTGTATTCTCATATATTTCTTGTAACAGAATTGTGTATTTAGTTGATCAATGAATACCAGCAAGGAACCCTTTCTATTCGAAGCATTACATCTCCATCAACCTTCCATGTCTTGTAAAGCTCTCCCCCTCTTTTATCTTGTCTGTTTTTTGCTACCAGTCAGTTTAAGGTGCTCTGTACTTGATTATTTACTTAGACCTATTGGTGAGACTGCAACTAATGAAATAAGAGCTGGTCCATGCACAATGTCTGTGTTGGAGTTTTTGTCTGTAAAGTTAAATTCCTAGGTTTAACAAAGATGCCAGTAAAACATAAAAATATCTTACAGTGCCTCCACATTACTGTCTGTGTTGTCCTTGAATTGCTTTATGGCAATTTATTTTCTGGTACAAAATCTTCTAGGCTGACAAGATTCTCGGCAACTTTCCAAATGATGAGTTGGAAATTTATTTTTGGTTACTTTTTGCTCTGGTTTAACCCTTTCACGACAGTGTCATAATATAGGATTTTCTGACCAACTTGTCCTGAAGGAGTTAGGAATGTCTAGATTACAAAGAACTTCCATTTGAGAAGAATACATGGAGCAACACAGACAAACAACTAACAGTTTACTTAAGGTTGAAGTCTTGCTTGACTGGTAGTGACAGTTGCTTGTTTCCTTAACCGTAAACACTACATTGTTTTTTTTATTGGGCTAAATAAAGCGGCAGAGGTAGGGTAAAAAAAAAAGGTTGTGCGCCTCTGCTGTCCTCATGCTTTGTGGGTGAACTCACTGCCCAGTCAAGTCTCTGGCACCTACGCAGGAATACCTAATGAGCGAGCAGTCTTACATTTGTTCAGCAGTCCCACACATGCATCAAGTGTGTGACATTACAGTGATTAATCTACATTCCAATGCCAAATTATTGAGTCTTCATGTTTGGTGTTGCTGAAAGTTAATCCTCCTCACACAAATGGGTCCTCAGTACTTGTCTAAGCATTGGATTGGCCTGAAATAATACCCCGGGTGGTGGTGCATTACACCAGTTCCAGGTGCACTATTATGCATGCGCAAACCAGAACTTCCGGGAAACCTCAGAGTGCGGATCGCTATGCTGTTCTCTCTGGCAGCCGGAAGCTTGTCAGAAGGGTTCCCCGTATCATAAGATTAGCTGATCTTTCCCTTGAAAATCTATTCTGATTTAAAACTGCAAGTTATGGATGGAATTGTTTTGCAGAAAGTGGACTGTATCTGCAAGATGGACACCGTGGAATGCCTCTGCTATACTTGGCTTTTGCTTATTGTATCTGTGCTACTCCTCTTAATATGGTTCTGGGGTTTATAAATAGGACCATGGTGCTGCAATTTCTTGGTTAAAATTAAGCAGAGAATATGCAATCATTCCCATCTTGAATTCTTATAGAGAATCAAATAGTGTATCAGCTGCTCTGCCTGAGATGTTCCGCAGGTACCGAAGAGAAGCGTCTTTCGATTATTTCTAGTGTCTGGTGAAAATTTATTTACCTCTTCTTAAGACATCTAAAATCTAGACCCAGCACCAGTCTACCCACAAAAATAGTCCACCAATTTCAGAGCTCTTAAGGCAGTTCTTCACTCCCCTCACCGATTCAGATCTTGGTTGGTTGATTGGACCTATTACAATGCGGCCAGATCACAATACGGTTTCCCTCACATCAACAGACAGGGCAGTGCCAGAGGCAACGTCTGTTTTAGCCATGTACCAAAACTGTGTACTGGGCTCAGGATCTCTGGGAGTTCCTCTCTCCATTCCAATTATGTGTCAGCAAGGTCATCACTTACAACCTCAGCTCAAGAAATTTGAATCAAGAGTAAGGGTCTGTAGATCCGATCATGTTCACGGTCTACAGAGATTTTGAGTGCCCGGATAGACCGTTTAGCAAACAGGGAGAACCTGAAGACTCTCAGGTTTGCCTCTCTGTACAGGACAGACAAACTATCCAACATCAACTATCTATCTAAGGGTATTTCTCTGGGCTTACATTTTTTTTCTCCTATAGACTGTTTCCAAAACTTCTTCAAAGAGGTAACAGACAGAACATTGGTTCTGCCAATCTTTCCGTACTGGCCAAACACGAGCCAGTTTTTGGCCTTGGTGGAGATGACTTTCAAGTTTGGGGATCTTCCGAATCTTGAAAACACTTTTGGAAGACAGGATATCCTACTAGAACTGTTGAATAGGTTATTGACGGTAGGGCACTGCATGGTGTATTCTTCATCTCCTGCATCTTCATGAGTCAGAGTCCTCTTGTTGCGTATAATCTTCTAGCCGTTCCGCCTCTAACCTTTACATGAGGATTTGGGAATTGTCATTGTCTTCTAGTTAATTTGTCCGGTTGGTTCAAATTTACACTTCCTTCAGACGTTTTCCACAGGTTGGGTGTTTTCACATTAAGACCAAATTGTATTCCCTAAATTCTTTCTGAGAAGGGATTGATCTTCGTATATATTGGTTAGAAGTTTCTTTAAAGCAATAGGCCACCCAGGAAGCTCTGTTTCCCTCCTGGGATCTTTCTTCAGTCTTTCAGGTCACCTTTTACTTTGTAGGTGGTTCCTTTTTAATATGCTAAAGCTCAACCAGCATTCTTAATGGCCATTACCCCTGCCAAGAGAGTAAGTGAGCTTCAGGATATATCTTGTTCAGTGGAATGTCTTATATTCCATCAGGGTGAAAGTTGTTTCATGCTAAAACTTCAAATCTTACAGAGTTATCTTTTTAGAGCCATTAAAAAGCTCATCCTCTATAATTATGCCACCTCCCCGCTGGAACTAGATGGCATATTCTAGAGTTAAAAAAAAAAAAGGGCATTTCAGATGTACCTATCAATATCAGCCAAAATCAGAAGATCAGATCACCTGTTGTCAACTTCTAGGAAAGTTTTAAGGGGAATGAAGCCTCTCCTAATTCTATTTCTCGTTATTTTGTCAATCATATGGCCTATGCTTTAGTAGTTTTGATTCGCCAGCGTCTTTCACAGTGCATTCCACAAAGGCCATGGCCACTTTGTGGGCAGAGAAAAGCTCTTGCTTCACCTGAAAAAATCAGCATGGCTGCTTCTTGGTCAGCTTTTAGCACCTTACAAAACATTAGGCATTTTCAGACTGAGATGTACTCTCTGCCTCTAATGTTGCGCTAGGGCGTAGGTACTTCAAGCTGTTTAGGCATACAGTTTTGATGTCTGGATAAGCACCCCCCCAACCTCCAAAAAAAATAACACCATTTTATGTTTCCTTCTTGTACAGAAATACTCCTTGCAGACCACTTGGGGAGTCCTTGATCCACCTTTGGGAAACACACGTCTCCATGTAGTGAAATTACTTGCAAGTGCAATTAACGCAAACAACAAAGCATTAAACCAAGAATTGATTGACCTAGACACCCTCAATGTAATATTGGTAAGTGTAAAAGGGTTATATTTGTCTCAAAATTATCTTCCTTTCATAAGCGCTCTCATCTCACACCCCATAGATGCAATCCTTAACTTAATCACATGAGCAACAATATAACCAAACACCTTGTGAACACCAGCGGAAAATGTATAAAGGACAAATTAATCTTTTAGATTCAGAAATCTCTAGAGCTGAAAATTCCTCCCAAACTTTAAAAATGAATATAAAAGCATACCACTCTCTACAGAAAAAATGCAAACACCGTAGTATTGCTCAATATTGCTTGTTTAGTTGTGTAAATTTCACTCACAAGATGGTAAAAAATGGTAAAATCATACCAGTCTGTATAATGCCGCCTCTTGTGTTCATGTAAAGTGGAGAAACTCAAAACAGTGTATAGAATTTTTTTTTTTTTTTTTAAACCAAAAAACTTCCTTGCCTGTACCCATCAAATGGAGTATATAATCCTCCTTCCAATACCTCTCAAATTTTTCAAATGTTAAAGGATCTTAACATGTATAGCTTGGAGGAAAGACTAGAACATTTAAATGTATAAAGAGGATCAACACAGAAAAGGAGACTAGATTTAAAAGAGAAACTACCACAACAAGAGGACGTTAGAGGGGAGGTGTTTAAAAATACCAGGAAGTATTACTTTACTGAGAGGGTATTGGACACAGCCTTCCAACTGAAGTGGTAGATGTTAAAACAGTGAGGAAGTTTAAGCATGTGTGGGATAGGTACATGGCTATCCTAGATAAAAGATAAGGCCAGAGACTAATGAAAGTATTGACGAAATTGGGCAGACTAGATGGTCTGAATGATTATCTGCCTTTCTATACTATGTGTGTCTATTTGCATTTTTTTTTTTTTTGGATGGTATGTTTTTGTGACATGCTCATTGCATCGATACATTAGTATTTATAAAGTTACACTAGCTAACGATATTGAATTGATCTGGATGTTTTCTGACCACCACGTGTTTGGGTGGGTGGTTTTGAAATTATGTGGAGGTGTGACATGTGAATAAGTCTGTCCTATAAGCACCTATGACCGGAAATAAAAAAATGTCTAGCTTAAATGGTTCACCTGATGAGCTATACAAAATTGTGGTTTTGCTAAGAACGTATGACTTAATATACATCTAATTTTATTTATACCTTTCTATTTTCTAGGATCTTTATTTCAAATATGTGTACAATAATTTCCTGCATTCACAAGTAGAACTTTGCATCAACACGATTTTAAATTCTGCACCTATTGAAGAAACCAACGAAACTGATGAACAAGTAAACCCGCTCGTTAAATATGTAAGGAAAATTTGTGTTCTGCCTGTATAGAAAGAAACCGTAGATGTGCAATTCAGAGACTGGCATAAGTGGATATGGGGAAAAATATGTACCTAAAATGCATTGACCCAAGATGGCTTTTGGGTGGCACTTTACATAATGCATTAACACATTTTGTGGAAATACGGTATATAAAATAGCAAACTTGTTAAATAGTCTAAAAGTTGCAATGCCTAGGACAGCCCTGAAACTAGCTAAGCTATCTCAGCCAGTGTTGAAGTGTTTTTTTAGGGTGGATGGGGGTGTAAGTTTCTTGTTCTTTTCATGCTGGTAAAAATTATACCTAGAACATCCCTTGCAATATCTATTCATTTTCCTCAAATAGGGCATGGTAAACAAAAGTATTTTAGAATATTAAGAACATTTGAAAATGACAAAGAGAAATCAAATGTTGAAAAAGTATTACTATAGTGTAATTTTGTATTTGTTACATGTATTACTCGGTAGCACTCTTAAAACTCATAATCCTTGTCAGCTTTTACAGAAATGTCGACTTTTCCATAGAACACTTTCAGCGTGGGAGGAAAATGAAAAAGAACAGTAAGTGTTTTCTATATTTATGTGTGTGTTTAGAGATAGACATGATGCACAGAGTGCCCTACCCATTTTCATAAGTCAAACTGTTTTAAATGGTTTGATTTTGTACCCAGGTTCAGCCCCTCCCCATCTCCACTGCTTCAGATGGAAAGCCAGAAATTCTTAAGCGGACACTCGGGCAAGTTACTGATTGGGAACGTCTCGCTCTCCAGCTTCAATAGAGGAGG